AGAGTTATCGCATTTTCATGAAATCTTTTATTGTTATAAGCACTCTACTTCTCACGGGAACAGCATAGTAGAAACTGCTGTCGGACTTTACAAAAGGTCAGCGCGTCGCAAAAACTGTTGAACCGAGCAATCTCGCCGGATTTGGACCAAATTAACGCCGGAGCTCAAGAACTTCCGAGATTTTGCATGATATGGAGCTCAGAAGACCTCCGGAGGCCCATGCTTACTTTTCGATAGAAACATGTCCGTGTCAAAAGAGAATCATCCACTTCTACCAAGCCTACCTCTGTCATCCAAAGTTTGAAAATTGATGTCTCTACAGGCTAATGTTTCGTGCTTGTAAAAGAATCCCAAGTTCATTCTTGAGCGGAAAATGTGGAAGGCATTGTCGGTGGCAAGAAACCTGACGAAAAATGGGCCTCTTTTTGAGAAGATGCAGCCGAGCCGACTGAAGTACGGTCCGCATTGCTTGCAAGGCATAAGTGTTAACCAATTACATATGCATTGAAAGCAAGCAGACCGTACATACTTCAGTCGGCTTGGCTGCATCTCCATTCAAAAATCGGAAGATAATGATGAAGGATAAAGCATTTGCCGTTGATCAATCCCTTTTTGGGATGCGGCACGCATTCTACTTCCATTTGTACATTCGTAGTGGCGTTTGAATGCGATGTGGCCTATACAATGACTTGCGGGGCCAGCCGATGTACAAGTCAGTGTTTTTATCCTCCCAGACAAGTCTGGTACCAATTAACCGACCCCGGAGGGATGGAAGGCTTGGTTGGCTGGGGGTAAGCGCCACGTGCCACTACTTGGTATGGTTGACCACGGGCGACTCAGGATTTGATCCCCGGACCGCTCGCGTGGTGAGCGTGCCACTTACCGCTACACCACTTCCGCTCTCATTTCGGATTTTAATCAGTCGTTATCACTTTGGGTCCCCCACCCAATATTCCATCGTCCCACCCCCTCACAGGCCAGCGAGCCGCACACCCTCTAGGTCCCATGCAACCGTACTTGAGAATAGCACGCATCTACGCAAGCTATTGCAGGTGAAGCAGCGCTATGACATTTTCGTGACAAAGAACCACACACACAATACACGACCACCAGCACACACCTCACTCCTCACCAGAATTAATAAGTATACGTAGGATAACAATATACTAATACCAGATTTTACGAAGCCGATACTCTCGTGCCGCGACATCTTCATTGTCCTCGCGTCCTCCCTCAATAATAAAGTCGCAATACCCAAACTTCTACGAAGAAGCATTTTCTGACAATGGAATCCGCCTGATAATTACTACACAACTCCAATTTGTGCTGTTTCAGCGTTTCCCGCTGTCTCTTCCATTCTTCTTCATTACTGGTGCATTTTGCTTTTTATCTCGTCTAGATACTATACTACTATTAAAGTACTGGTCTAGGTAAATCCGCTATTTTTTAGATGCTACAACATGAGGCACCATAATTTTTTCCCTAAGAGACACTGATTCTCTTTGAATTCTTTGTGAGAATTTACTGTGTATAGAATTTCTGCTTGCCTCGTCGAAGTGGTGTAATTTGAGTGGTAGATATTTATTGACCCACGTATAATTTTAATTACTTGTTTGGTGAAAGTTATTTTTAACAATGAGACGGAGGAACGGACAGAGCCGATACTGAACCTTGCACAACAAAGTCGTTCCTTCCTGGTTCTCAATCTCACGTCTTCCATGTTGGTTGCTCATAAAGCATGCCTAATTCAACGTTATTGCGGATGCTCCGTATAAAAGCATGAATTCCAGCGACAATTCAAGAACTTTCTCGGAGCAGAAAAATCAAACTTCTTCCGTATCATTTTGGCGCCTGACTATTGTGATATATTGGAGGCTCAACAGACTGCTACCTAATAATCAGCTCGATGCCATCTTTTAGGTTGAGTTATAAATAATTGTTGATTTCTTCATAACGCGCAACTATGTTGGTGTTTCCCCGAAAAGGAGTATGTGGCGACCTTACCATTAGTGCGCTTTCATATTACGAAATTCGACAGCACGTACCGTCTTTAGGAGAGAAATGATGCCACTCATTTCAACACATGTTCGTCAATGTCTGTTTCGCGAGTTCCTCAGGGGTTCTCTGCAGGAGCAGTGTCGGAGGGAATCTGAGGGACTATACTCCTAAAAGAAAACGCCTGTTGGAGGCGGTTACGAAAGCTTCGTCAAAGCGACTACGGCCCTGAAGACCAACATGTTTCGAACACCCAATGACAGTAGTCCCCGGGCAACATGTGTCGTTCCCTTTTTACCATGGAGAAATTGTGCACGCTGGGAATATGGAATCCTCAAGAGTTGAACGAGGTGGCTTCGAAAGACGACGTGTGATGATCTCCTCAATTTGACCGTAAAACTCGTAGTTTTGATTCGCTTGACCAGCGGTCGCTGGGATCGATGAGTGCGCTCTACTCAAGCAGCATGGGACATTAGTGGGAACACCCAGCTCAGCAGCGACAACAAGCCCCAATAGGTGAACTTCACCCGGAGTAGGTTCCGCTCTCCGATTGTAGGATTGCATCATTACAGATTTCAAACAATACCACCACTGTTGGCGCAGACATCTACTGCTTACAGTGGATTCGAGCTTCGGATATCGCAAAGCTGAAACCTCCTATACATGAAATTCTTCCACCGCGAAGCAGCTCGCAACTGAAAAGAGGGAATGCCAGAATATCATACAGGGGCTAAAGACATGGTTTTCCCCTGCTATTTAAAATCCGCTGAGGTATAGCAACCAATTCAGTTGTTCCGCTTGCTTGCTCATTTCGTTAATAAGCAAAATTACGAACACCGCGAACACCTCAAGACAAACATCCACTGTTGTAGTTTCTTCTGTTCAAGCTTCCGAGATTGATATACGATTTATTCGGCTAACGTTTCGGCGCACTCGCCTTCTTCGGAGCCTGCAAATCGAAGCATCTTTTGAAACAATTCGTCCAAGCAACATTTCAGATTACAAGAAAGAAAAACTAAGGGAGAATAAGCCATGAACGATGTCGTAACCCGCTAACCTTTGTAAAAGCCGAGCGTTAGAAGGCACCCTTTGCTTGAAGACCGTGCGGTGAGGCTTTTATATGTGTTTCGCACCTTCGGGGTGGGATTAATAGAGAGTCGTTCATGAGACATCCACTGATTCTCTATCGAAGATTGCTAAGTTCTGTGAGAGACATACCCATTCACTCGCGAATAGATAGAGATATCTGTACCACAGTGGTCAATATGACACTTAAAGTCAAACCCGGGATTAGTCTGGTGCTAAGAGCGCTTCGTAGTGATAGCTTAGCTGCGGAACGACCTGAAAGTGGAGGAAAGCAAGAGAATCTTTGGGAACGCTGAAATTAAGGCCTTAACCTTCAATAAGGTCGGATGTGGTACGATGGCGAGACAGGGCGTCAAAGAAGACAAAATACGCGAGAGAGCACGTCGTTTGAGAGAGCACGCTGATCTCTACATCAATGCACGCTGATCTCACCACCTCTCGCGGTGGGTGGGGCAAAGGAACGAAGTGTTTCTTAGAGCTTCTTGAGTAGCCAGATGTAAGGACGATCGGTGGAGGACTCTCATAACGTTTGGTACGTCAAGAAGTAAAGCGCACACTTGTCCTCCCCTTCCCTCTCCACACCCCTCTCTCCCACCCCACACTGCAGCGCGATTTAGAATCTCTGAAGAAACTCCAAGAAGCTGTGAGCCAGCACTGGGCCCATATCGTCTAAAATTGTCAAAAATGTAGGGGGAAGCGTGTGGTTGTCGTTATAGATCATCGGCCGACAACGAGCATTGAAGTATCTAAATGGGTATCCAAATGAGTGGTACGATAAGTAAGATGTGGAAGACGTAGAAGTACACCCTCCCGCAAAGGAAGGCGTGAGATCGGTATCCAGGAGTGCGCGCCAGACCTACACATCGCGGACCGTGCGCTCAAAACGTGTGCAAATCAGTCCTAGCCAGGCTAGTGGTTTTTGTATTGCTACAGTAGTGTAGTATAACTACTTTTTACTTTTTTTTACATTTAATATTTTGTACATGATAAATGGCTCATTCACCCAGAGCCCCTCGTTCTTGATGCGTCTTAATATCAATCACGGTTTACCCATTTCTTTCAAATTGTTTTCTTGCTGTGCTTGTACAGGCGGTTTCATCAATCCTTCTCCTCTCTATCCCCTCTTCACTTCTCTCTACTCATTCAACTTTCTGCTATAGTTCTGCCGCAATAGGACAATGATTGAGCGTAATCACCTTTGTTGGGCCCAACGAATTTTACCACCCTTCTCGTCGAGTCATCGTGGCGGTAGGGCTGCATCCTGGGATTTTTTTTGAGAGAAGGGAAGGTGGTAGGGTCGACTAAGCGAAATGAACCATAACTCAAAAAATATGAATAGCGAGGACTTTTATGCAAAATGGAAAAAATAGCAACTCTTAGGAAACTTTCGCAGTCGTTTGGGGGAATCTGGTAATTTTTGCGAAACGCGAGGTCGTCCATCTGAAATTGGTCACTCGCCACGGTTGACCTTGGTTCCAGCTAAAACGTTATGACATACATAGTGCAAGTGCACCACGAGCGAAGTGTGGGCTTGAAATGACGCAGTCCATGTTATTATTCACTGTCCACACTTCTTACCGTATTATTTGAAAATGCCTCACATGATGATATCACCGCCATTACCCATTGTTTGAAGGAGTTGCTCTCGCTATATAAACAGAAGATTTGATCCTAGAGTCCATTATTCTCAGCGATTGCAATTCTGGGCTAGACTTAAGCTTTCCACTTTGTTACAAAAGGTATTTGAGCAGCAGCGATCCACTGGAAAGTATGCGATTTATTCCACTTTGCTCATTCACAGCTCTACTTTCAATCGAATCACTCACATCTGACTGCCAACCCTTTCGCGTTTGTCCTCGATATCAGTTGTTGCTTCCATTCACTTCGATTTCGCCAACGATCTACCTTTTCAGGTAAAAATGATTGTATCACTGATATTGTTGTCGTGCATTTCACTGACAGTAACAAGCCTTGTGATTGATGGTATGTTGAAGCTTCATGTTTTTCAGCAGTTATTCACAAGCTTATGCCGTCAATAATTTATTACAGAGAATAGGTACCTGGATGTGGAATGCCGACAATTGCTACGAGAATGTGAAGGTGCACAGTGCTTGCTTCAATTGATAGCTAATCCTGAATGTGTTATGGGTAAGTACCCGATTTTATTAGTTCTCTGTAAGTCTAGAACTGAAGAGCCTCCATTTTGAAAAAGATCCTATAAGGCTCGGCTCGGAATCAAATTGATGTGTTATTTTGTTCGAAATTATGGTCAGACGAAAAGTGCGATGAGGAACGCTAGTGGGGGAGAAAAAGGAAGTAGCACCATGAAAAACACTGAAACTCCCTTCTGAAGTCGGACGTGGTGTGAAGGAGAGACACAGCGAGGAGAGGGAAAACGCCGAAGAGTACGTTGTATGCAAGAGGGTGCAACGCAAACTGATAAAAGGGAGCAGTAGGCCACATCAGGCAAACGGTTAGCTTCTTTTGTCGAGCACTTTTAGACCGTGACAGCATGCCAGTCCATGAATTAAATGTCCTACTTCCTCGCTATAGAGAGTTTCTCTGATTCACGCGACCCGTGTTTAGGACTGAACCGAGCTGAACTTTTGCGAGCATTTGCTTAGACCCCTACTGCCCCGAGCCTGCGACCCTTAAAGGAATTCCACGGAAAAAGCTCCGCCTCCATTACCACAGAAAAACGATACCTTAGGCCCCTAGCCTCATGAGCATAGCAAAAAGAACGGAACATAAGCGTTAGTTTCGATAATACTAATCCTACACACAAGACAAAATGATCACTCTTTCCGTGGAAGATTCCTTTAAGGTATCGTTTTCTGTGGTAATGAGGGCGGAGCTTTTTCCGTGGAAGATTCCTTTAACACTTTGACGACAGTGCGGGACACATACGTCCCGCACTTTCACACGGAAGAGGCTTGTTTTTCCTAAATTGTGCCTCCATTTTCATGCTTCAAGACTGGCCCTTCCTACTCTTGGAGTACCAAATGAAAATTATTGGTAACGTAGTAACTGTTGATGCAAATTTGTAAAGTAAGGTGGGTAGGTGCGCGCACAAGGGCGTGTCGTCAACGTGTTAATGTCGCGGTCTCGGAGTGTCCCTCCCAGTCTGTGACAGGATATGTATGTTTTGTTTGAGCCGCTCTTACTCAAAATCTCCTCACAGCATCAAACTGCATAGTGGCCACGAGATGAGGCCCAGATCCACCCTAGTGTCAACCTTTTTATCGGTTGCAATGGATTGACCACCGGTTTCGTACCGCACAAGTATTGCTCTTATAGTGCCGAATAGGATTCAAAAGCACATTCTATGCACGAAAGTATGAAACGATGAAGCGTCAGTCGTTGATCTATTCCTTTTTGTAATGTGTCACTTCCACTTCCACTTGGAATCTCAGTACCTTTACAATATGATCCGGTCCACACGTGGCTTGTGGGACCAGCAGGTCACCAATTCAGCTGATGTCATATTTCCAAGCAAACCCAGTATCGAGTAAAGGCGGATTCTACGATAAAAAAGGCAGCGCATTAGATATAAGGACAGATCTGGTTAGTTGTACAGGGATAAAAGCCAGTTGAGACGGCCCGAACCAAGAAATCAGTTCCCTTCCTTTCCCGTTGATTCGCGTACTGTGATGCGACTTCAATCGATGCTGCCCTCTTCAACGCTATCGCGCTCTCTGGGAAAGGGGGGGGAGGGGGTATGGGAGGCTTACGGTCAATAGCGTGCCAAATGGACAAGGAAAAGCTATGCTAGATCGCCGGGCATACCCTTCGATACCAATTGTTCGTCAGTCCGCAACCTTAGAATATCGCCTATCTCTTTGTTGTAGTGAGTTCTCCTTCTTCTTCCTTCGCCCATATCGTGGAATTCTCCTTTAACACCATTATGGAAATCTAATCTGAAATTTGCTCGAACAGTTCCGTTAAAGACGACCACTGTCTCGCTGCATCACCATTTCTCTTGTTTAGAGCAATTGAAATGAGAAGAATCAGCGGCATTATTTGATCTTTACAGTCCAACAATCTTGAAAATTTCCCTATTGGAGCTTCGCCTACGGGCCATTTTGGCTCTCGTCATGATAGCGGCCTGGTTTTGGCGCCATTCGGAGCTACACGGTCCAAAACGGAGTTGAAGGGCTATGGCGAATGTTAATATTTTCTGATCAAAACTTCAAGCTTTCCCTTAAGTTGAAGATTTTACAATGATTTTTTCGATGTTAAGGGTGTCATTGCTGAATAATGCCTGCCAAAAGAAGTTAAGATTTGAAGGTTATCAGGGAACGGGCCGTAAACATAACGATATAAGATAGATCCAGGCGTGAAGCACAGTACATAGGTCGTGGGGCAGGGGGTAGCAGTTGGTCGCGCATGTGAGACCATATTGCCCAAGAGAAACGATCGCAGGCCTTTTCAAACTTGTGCAAGTGCGGGCCGTGGTACTGCGGCTACCTTTGCATCTTCTCTTTCTTATTAGTTACTAATAACACCAACAGTTGTATGAACAGTAATGGATTTTCTCACAAAATTTCGAGTTGTGAGCAGAATACTTTGGCTTACCAGGGATTCGGACTCTAGCTTAGATCCCGAATGAGCTGTGTCAGTAACATAACCCTTAGTCGGCGTAGGGTCAAAACAATTTACGGAGAAGCCAAAGCGCCTTTCTCTGAGCGGCACTATACCGTCTTCTTGATTACCTGTGCAACTTAAACAGTTTGCAAAGACATGCTATAAGTTTTCAATCGAAGAGAGAATCCTTTACGACTTCTTGAATGTTCAGTGTCTCGCTGGAACTTATCAATTACCACTATTGCAGAGCAGCAGATGAACACGGCCAAACGAGCGAGTCGATCGAAAATTCGCGAGATTCTGCTCAACAGCTACTTGAATCGAATGGGATGACAGCACTCTCGGTTATGCTTTCCCCTTGTGCTACAGTGGACTTCAATGCCTCCAGAGTCATGCAGTCTTCACCCGGCACTTGTACGTCCCCGTGAATGCGGTGTTGTTCTTCACGTATATAGTCAGGCACATTCCCGCCCATTCACCTGATCTCACTTCATTATGATAATTTTCTCGTACGCAGGACTCTGTTGTATAAAGGTTGGTAATCTGGTCAGTGTTCATTGTAAACGCTTTGCATAGAAACAGCTTCTAAATTTGTACTCGGAATGCAGGTTTGGAAGATTGTAGTGTTCCAGCGTGAAAAATTGCAAAAAAAAACAAGGCATTTAGTGTGCAGACGCTTTGTACGCAACTTATTTGCAAACGTTCCCATTCTTCCAAAATACTAATGATGTTTTCCAGAATAAAAACTTCATACGCAAGCTCGATTTGCTCTCCATTCTGAGCGGTTTTTCAGGAAGGAGAACACAGATCTTCTTCTGAGTCTATCATTCGAGGAAGAGCTTAGAAATCTGGCTCCGGAGAACAAAGAAGGGTTCTAACCAGGGTACACCATCATGGCTGTTTCTACAGTATCTGGACTCACAATTTTGCCTTTTATTTTATTTCTTTTTATATCTCTTTTATTTTGCATTTTATTTTCCATGCTGCCGGAACCGTAGAAAAGACATCCAAAACGACACTCGCGCTCGCAACTGCGACTCTCAACGTCATCGAATACTACTCGCCGTTCACACTTTTCCGAGAAATTCGCCCTGGCTAACCTTGAAAACGACCCTCCCTCTCAAAATCGCAAATACGTTCCTTCGTTTGCACTTGTACCAGGACGGTTGACCTGGGTGTCCCCCAAGAGGCCCATCGCGCGGCGAAGGAAGAGACGCAGACGCGGCAAAGGACGAGTCGCAGCGCATACTGTAGCGGTTAGGCGTCAGGTTAAATAGAGTGTACCATACTACGTCTCATATCGCACAGCACGCGCTGCGACTCGTCCTTTGCCGCATCTGCGTCTCTTCCTTCGCCGCGCGATGGGCCTCTTGGGGACACTCGGTTGACCTTGGTATCAGGAACGATGGCTGCAGTGAGCTTGCTGTCGGCGTTGTCAAAACTCTTCCTAGCCTCCTTCTGATAATAGACTCTGTATTTACTTCATTCTTCATTTCAGAAAATACTTCTTACGAGTGTTTATCGCAATGTGCAGGTCTTCAAAACCGGTGACCTTTCAGTTCAGATAATACTCATCCACTTCGTTGACTCAGAGTGATGGTTCGAGAAGTTCACGTAAATTGTTTCGCTTGAGAAAATCGAAGCCTTCCTTCTTTTACTAATTGCTTCCAGTGGTTTTCCTGTGTCGCACTTTTCCTATTTATTTATTTATTTACTTATATACTCATAAGAGTGCACCAACGTCCCATGCAGAAAAAAAACAACCAGTAAACACAACGATGGTGAGAACTAAGAATGAAGGTGAAAGGCTAAGTTGGAGAAAAACCGTCCGCAGTGCAGGATGAATTATTGTGAATAACTACATTCTCATAAACAGTGTCGCTTTTTTTCATCCAAAAAATTTTCATCTAAACCTCCATGCTTTTACATCGTGTTGTGTACCATTCGAAAGAGAATTGTCTGCTCTACAAAATGCTATGTCCCACTTCCACATTTCTTCCAGGGTTTTCAAATTTTGGGCCTGTGAAATGGGAGGTCCGGCCGACAAAAAATGGCCAAACCGACAACTATCTCTAACATTATCTTTCCTTGGGAGAAATCAATCTATGATGTACCTTCTACTTATGCATGACCTCTTCTAATCATTACACTACTAGGTTTTCCTACAAATCGCGTCGTTCAATTTCCAGAGCTGGTTTTTCAACCAGAACTCGACGATCGAGCACCATTACCTGTGATCTAGGTCGAAATTTTTTTATGGCCGAGACGTTGAAGAACTGGTTGAATTTGAAGAACAAGTCATGACTAAGTTAGGAATGTACGACTGGTTGATTTTCTCATTTTCTAAGGGATAATTTTTTTCAAAGAAATGTGGTCACTTTCGCGGTAAAGCACCTTATACCGAAACATCTAAAATTCGAACTAATTCCCAACAAACAGAGAAACAAAACAAATGAGCGAGTAGAGCAGAAGAAGTGCTCGTAAAAGGAACACCACTCGATATGAAACAATGACGTTTACGAGGAACAATTTTAATTTGAAAATTGCTATGGCTTATCCGTCAGCCAATTCGAAAAGAAAAACGGCAAAGCTTTTTCGGCAACCTAAGAGTGGAATGTTTAGAAGAGGTCATGGGTAAGTATAGGGTATATCACTGGTTGATTTCTCCCCAGGGAAAATAAAGTTACAGCCAGTTGTCGGTTTGGTCAATTTTTGCCGGCGAGACCTCCCATTTTGCTGGCCTGAAATTCGAAAACTCTGAAATAGCGGTGGAAGCGGAACACAGCATTTTGTAGAGCAGACAATTCTCTTTCGAATGATATATAAAACGATGTAAAAGTTTCATGATTTAGATGAAAATTTTTTGGTTGAAAAAAAAACGACATCACTTATGAGACAACCTAATACATTCATCAGCCATACATCTGCATAGACACAGACGTCCTTAAACCAATTGCAGCAAGCAATTATTTCATTCAGCAACTTCGGTTGTGAGGTCTCACATTTTTAACAACATTCACTTGGCTGCCAAAATACTTTAGAAAATTATGTAGTGTTTTTCTCAAACATGCAACCACAAATGTGTACTCTTCCGATCAAGAAAATTTTTCGGATTCAATTAGGTCGTTCCATAAGTAGTGTCATTTTTTTCGGATGAAAATTTTTCTTTTCACGTGCAATGTCATACATCAAGTCATGCCACATTCAAGAGATGTCTTCTCTCACAGAAAGGCCTGTTCTCGCGGAATTCATGCGAAGAATTTTGATTTGCAAGCCTGAATAACGTGAGGTCCAGTCCACGAAAATCAGACAAACCTCCAAATCCATTTTTCCCTTGCAACCCCCAGGAAAAATCGACCAATGATGCGGCCTTACACTCTGAGATAACTCTTACGAAAACATTTTCATTATAAGCTCCTAAGAAGTCCTCGTCGTTTTTCAATTTGTTTTCCTCAAAAAACGACTTTAAGGCCCTTCGGCAGTCAACACTCTACAACCTCTAAATAGTTTGCTGGCGGAGCGTAACATTAACAAATATTAAGAACAGAAGAACAAAGCACGTAACAAATATCTGACAGGGTATGTCTGAGCAAAACAAAACTACAAGAACTCCTAAACTATCCAAGAGTACCAAGCAAATGCGGCCGGGAAAGCGCAGCTATAAATGTCGAGCATCTTGACTCCGACACAGACGACCCTGACAAAATAATATAAGGTGGCTGTAACACCCATAGCCATTACTTACTAAGAACTCTTAACATTACTGCTATTTTCCCACTGTTCAAAATCTTCTTTAACCTTTTCGAACCTGAATTTTTCCCCGTGGAGGAATTTTTCTTCTAGCTATTGTTTTTTGCTCACGAGCACATAAGACCGTTATGCGAAATCTGGAAGCTCTTTCGACGCACAAAAAATCACAAACAAAGAAACAAGAAGCTTTGAAAATTGGCCCACCTTCTTAGTTTTTAAGCTTATGTCGAAACAATTCCAAATTTCACAGTTATGCCGAAGGAAGTTTATAATCTTGCACAACATTATAACCCATAATTTTGATTGAAGAATGTTCTACGATATTCAAGGAAAAGGAAACTTACTTTCCCGTACGGGACCAGCGCGAAAATTCATTGTGCTTCGTGCTTGAACACAAATAACTGCAAGATTACAGCCAAACACACAACGAAATGCAGCGTTTTAGCGCATAATTAAATATAAACTATAGATGAAAGGTGACGCTAAAGCCAAACTCCTAAGGAAGGATTAGAAAACCCATGTTTTCCAGTCACCACGCAGACATTGATTGATGGTGCAATGCACCGCAGGTCAAAAAGGGTAAGAGAAAAGCTACGAAAGCTAGGATGACGGGAAAGCGACCTTCGTCGAGTTCATCGCCTCCAGAACTCTGGTACTTTCACGAACAGATTGACCGAGCAGAGTAGATGTTGCCAATCGAAGAGTAGATTGTAATAAGAGTTCGAGATGCCATGTCTTCTTGAGGTATTTTAGCACAGGAATTTCTTGCGAGGTTCGCAGTCCTATCAACCATTTCAAGCCTCATATCTTATTTCCTTCAGTACATGCGAAATCCATTGGGCTTACCGTCTTGTGGTTTTTTATAAGGTTGAACTGAAGTGTACTAAACATTGTTTGGGGAACATTAATTTATCAGCGTCGAGCTCGCGCAGCGCTCCCACAACCGGTCGAATGACCACTAAGATGCTGCCTAACCAGGAATGGTCGTTTCATGGCTCCAGCTCTTCAGATGGTTTCTTGCATGGCATAGAGACAACATTGGGAACCACGGAACAGCCATGGTTCATTTTCCGATGACTGATCCTGAATAACAAAAAAGGCGAAGAAGAATCGAGTGGAAACTGTGTTGTTAGCATCTTGATGTACGGACTGCTAATTACTAAGGAACCGCCTCAAATTTCCACTCACGCTATCAAGTCTAAGGCTACTGACTTATCCATGGTCCAACTATTCGATATTGGGTCAAATTCTTATTTTCTCTGAAACTTCGGTCATAACGGTTATTGTGTCCTGATTACGAATATGACACGATTTTAGCGTGGACGCCACCCAAAGCCATTTGGTGCTACATTGGTGCCCTTTTGGTGTCACAAATTCCATGACCACTTTTTTGGGCTGAAGCTACTTGTAAGAGTTGCTAACGGTCCAATCATGCAAATGACATCCATTCATGGCGATCACGCTATTTTGCGCAAATTCTGAGATTCCTACTCGAAATGCAAAAATTTGTCATCGCAAGGAATCGAACCACGGACCCTTCATCACCCCTTTTCTGGTATTCAGAGAGCCGTTCAGGAAAAAAA